GGCCACCAGGAACAGGGTGGACGCCGTTGGCCAGGCGTTCTCTGCTCTTTTTGGCAGGAACAGGTGGCGGCTGCGAAGGAGTTTTTGGCTGTGTTTTTGCCTCAGGGACCCTCCGCTCAGCATCGACCCCTTCTTTGGTGCCTGGGGGATGATTTGTTCCTTCAAAATTGTGCCCTTTTCTGTGACCCTCAAGAGGCGTCCTCGTTACACTGGGTTTAGCTCCTGAAGCTTGAGCGTCATAGCTTTTGGGCAAACACTGAGGAGGTGACATGCCCCGTGGAGAGGTGGCTACTGAACCATCCAGTTTCTTGGTCGTAATTTTCTGAGGTTCAGAGTATCTCTTGCTTTGGGTCAGTAGCAATGCACTGTCTACAGCAGATTCTCGTTCTGGCGTTTGAACCTTGGTGGCGGCTGCGGTCGTCTTTTGCGGCACTTCCGGTGGAATCTGAGCGGAAGCTCCCGTCATCCCACTGGGCCCGTCTTTTTCAGCATCGGGCTCTCCTTGAAGGTCATCCAGGGAATGCGATCGGGGCCACGTTGCCACAGTCTGGGGGCCCTCCAGGGTCTCGCAGCTCCTGCAGATGGAAACGGGAAGGCTTCTTCGGTTTTTATTCAAACCAGTCGTGCAGGGCTGGTCGCAGCTGGTGGAGGCGTGAGGGGTAAGCCCAGTGCCCAGCAGGCTCTCCTTCTCTTCCTGCTTCAGTGCGTCCGCAGACTTCGGCAAAGGCAGCGTCGGGTAGTTGCCCAGCTGGTTTCTGTTGAAGGACGTAAAGCTGGGCTCGCTCGACTTGGCAGACAGGAGGCCAGTTTTCCGAGTCTTGCCTGCGAGACAAGAAAACATTTTACGATCACATTTTAAAAGAGAAGCCATCAAGTTGATGTACAAAGCTGTGTTAACATAACTGAAATCTTGAATTACACGACGGACATATAAAATCCCCGTTTATGGTACTAGGTGAGAGAGGGTTATGATGGCCCCATTTTTATTTTTAGAGAGATTTCTTAGTCTTATTAAAGCACTTGGGAGAATGGAATTAATTGGGTTAGGTGGAATAGAAATACATTGTGCCAGGCAGTAAGATAAAGCTGTGCCTGGTTGCAATCAGTATGGTGGAAGGCTGGTCGTCCATACCGTGTGGAAGCTAGGCTGATAGGATTTCTGTCTGATGAGTGTGGTTTCCTAAGGTCGTGGTGGGAAGGGGAGGTGGTCTGAATTCTTAACAAGTTCTATAAGTGGTGGGCCTAAGGGTCATGGCTGATGAACTAATCCTCAACTCTGGCTTGCCTTGAAATGGTGCCCTCATAGTGGTAATTCACGTGTATAAAATAAAAGTGTCTTAGAAACCATCAATCAACCTTGGTAACAAGTAAACATGAGCTAAAGTGAGTACTTTGCCACTGAGAACCTGTAACATTAGGATACAGTGTAGGTCCCAAGGAAGCCAAAGCCCCAATTAAAACCAACCATCAGATTGATGACTGAACTATAAACCACGCATACTGTACTTACTGGATGATTGATTAGTAACTGCTGCTACTTGATAAGCTTTACTGAGGATTATTATCTATGGGTCATTGTGCTAAGTGCTTTGTTCTTACTAGTACTTTACACACAAACTCACACAATTATTAACAGCCCTTCCTTATATCTTCAGTTAAGATTGAACCCCCTTGTTATCATACAATGTCCATCCTTCCTTTTGTATGATAACAAGGGGTCCACTGTGCTTTGACAATGAGAGATGTCTGATGAGGACACCCCAGGTGATAAAAACATACGAGCTAAGTGACCCGATGGCAGCAGGCCTCTAAAAAAAGACAAAATTGTAAACCCACATAAGGTTTGGAAGGTGGAAAAAAATGGCAGACTCTAATCTGTGCAAAGTATAGCAAGGATTGTGAAGCTGGCAGGGCTGGGCAGTGTATTATTCTGCTGTGAATAGGGTCGCTATGAGTCGGAGCCAACTCAATGGCACCTGATAACAACAATAACAATCTGTGCAAAACCACTATCTTATAAGTCAAGGTTTACTTCCCAATCTCTTGTTTTAGTAAACATTTGGAATGAATTACTTTAATTTAGAATTTTGGCATCTTCCCTTTCAACAAACTGGTGGTCTGATTTCACTGGGAGGAGACAGAAGAGGGGTCGATGGTACCCACTCAGAGAGGGATGTGGAAATTTTGGGGTAAAAATGAGAAACTCTCTGATAAAAGCTCTACATGTATGGTGTACAGACAAAGGACCCTGGTGGCACAATGGTGAAGCACTCTGCTGCTAACTGAAACCCACCACTGCTCTGTGGTAGAAAAAACCTGGTGATGTGTTCCTATAAAGATTTCAGCCTAGAAAACCTACAGGGCAGTTCTATAACGTCATAAATGGTTGCTCAGTCAGAGTCAACTCAATGGCACAAAACAACACGTATAGACAAGGGAAAAGGAACAGAAAGAAAAGGGCTGGGGACTGGGACATTATAAGCAGTTTGGCCATTATCAGCAGGAAGAAAACACATTTTCTTCCATAATGTCATAGCTTTCTACCTTTCTACTTCATCCTACTCCTGGCTGGGTGCCCACAATGCCTCCCCAACTACTTTCTACCTTGATCCACAGTTGGAAATACATTTACATTCATCATCCAGTACACACATATACACAACCAAAACACAGATAACAAGTAACAACACTAACTCTTTCTCCATGGAATGCAGTCTATATTTTCTATTGATTTTCCCTTATCAGACTGACTTCATGACCCACTAAACTGATTCCAAGACCCACTAATGAATGACAACCTGGCGTTAGAAAACCTTGGAGGTGCTCAGTATACATTGTAACGCATAACTACTACATGGGTTCCAACAGCAGCTAAAAATGATCCTATCTGGGCATTTGTTGCCGTGATCCTTGGGTGTTCAACAGAGATTTAGGTAACTGTGGCACCGTGAGCCTTTTACTGTTGTTTTGAACCTTGGGGACGCACAGGAAACATGACAGAGCAATATTTATCCTTCCTGATCCCGTCCCACTGAAGACTCGTCTGTTGGAGACAATGAAGCTTTCTAAAATTTCATACTGACCGTTCCCCGAGTGTAACTGTAGAGAAGCCACGGACTAAGAGACGTGGCCTTCAATTCCTCCTCACCCCCAAGAACTGCTTCTGACTGGGGAAGTGGATGAAGACTTTAAAGAGACCGCAGCTTGTGTGACCCTGATGGCTCATCTACCTGGTAAATTGTTTTTCTTATGGTTCTAATAGTTCCCAACACGCAAATGTTGGTTTTTATTGAGTAAAAAAAAAAGGGTCATAGGAGACACACAATTTAGGTTTTATAGCTGCAGCTGTTTTAAGCAGAATTTATGAACCTCACATAGCCACCAGGAGGACAGATAGCAGAATGTAACTGGACTAGAATGATGCAGGGGTCAGAGAGGATAAGATTATCATG